GCCGTCAGCGTCAAAGCGTTAAAACGCATTTGGTTGAAAGTTGTTTGTGTACTCGTATTTGCTGCTGCGACGCCGGGAGCCGGAGTCGGAGCGTTGCGTGCCCAATTCACAATGTAATTAAAAATAGTTTTGTCCGTCCAAACGGAAATGCTTTACAGTTAAACGCTTGAATACCTTTGCTGGAACATTAACTGACATTTGCGCGTGTTTATTTTGATTCGGTTTTGACAATGGCATATGCTTTGTTGATATGTTTAGACGAGAGCCAGCAGTGCCAACCCATGATATATTTGATATTTGGTTCCAGATAGCTACAAGTGAAGGCATATCAAGGCTTATACATTATCTAGTTGAATGATCACTTATAAATATTGATTGAATGCAATTGATAAACATTTTTAAATTTGAACTTGGGTACAACGTTGTTGGCTAAAAAAGTATCTAAACAGGAAAACAAATTAATTTTCTATTAAAAGTTTCAACTATATCTTACCAACATGATCCTACAATATGCATTCTTCTAGTTCTCTTTAACCATTGGTTCTCTATTTTTATCATGTCTCGCCTTTTTTTTTAATATTGTATTTCTTTTGTTTCTGTTTTAATTGCCGCCTAATGTAAAGGTCAATCAAGTATCATATTTGATCATTATCAAATAAAACCACAATTAGAATTGTTAGAGGTTTCAAATTTTATTAAATCTTTTAATGTCTGATCAGCAGCAAAAATATATTTATTAGATACGATCTTTAAAATGTGATCTTAGTTATTCAAAGCATAAGCTAGGGCTTTCATTATTATTATTAGCAATGAATTAAATCTCTGAATAAAAAAGACAAATGGAAGCTTTGTTAACATTCTTCTCTATTGGAAAAGTCTCAATTCTCTCACGTGGCTAATGGATTTTATACCAGTCTATCAGGTCACTGTCATTTTTGTTGTTAGTCGTGGTTCACTGACTTGTGCAATCAATTTCTCATAATAGCTTATATGGGCAACCAATTAATTACACTGTACTGCAAGAAAATAAAAAGCTAATGCTTAGACTTTTCAGCTCTTCAGAATTCACATTTGTGTAAGATTCGGTCACAATTAATGCAAAAATGATTAATTAATAAAAATTTAACAAACTCGTAAAGGTTTTGGATTCCGAGGGTCAATATTTTAAGTTTGACAACTGTAGGTCGAACCATTTGTGAGATCTAAGCTGATAAATTGGGTAAAAGACTCCGGGTATTGATTAAAAAAATAATTATACTTAATAGACATGCTAATAGGCAGAAACTTTAAATTAGTTGGCCTTCCAGACAATTAGCACTGAACCTTAAAGACTGATTTAAATCATTTTATTTGCAAACAGATTTTGGTATTTTCGCAAATTTTGTATTTGCTAGCACACATTTCTTCAGTGTTTTAAATTGTATAAGTACTATCTTTTACTTGACAAACCGCTTCTAATAGCTTTTATTTATTTATGTCTCAATTTGTCTGCAATTGTGTCAAAGCCACAAAAACCGAAAGGGGATAAAAAACAGCCCGAAATTTAACTCAAATCCAACTGCCACAAAAACTACGTAGTTTAAACCACAAGCTAAATGGCAATAAAAAATGCTTAAATACAGTGACAACAGCGGCAAGAAGAAGAACAAGAATGCGGCCATGTACATAGCTAGCAAAATAATTTGTTGCAATAAATATTTTAAAATCCAGTTAAGCGTAACATTTTCGTCACGAAGTGCCACAGAGAGCGAGACCAGGGCAGTGTACTCGTCCCACACGGCTACTAGCCAAGTCCTAAGCATGCCTAGGAATCCTCCATTTTCTAGGGTGCCTGAAAATGCAGGCTGAAAACTGTTGCAGTGCAGGAGGTAGTCGTAGGAACAGTGGGATATTTAGTTTATCTAATTTGAAGGACTATTTATGAGGACATTATAATATTTTTATGTAGTGTTTGAAATTAGAGGTGTTTATAGTCGTTAGTAATGCATGCCGTACATTTTGAATTTAATTTATTTTAAGAAAGTATAGAAAGTAATGTGGATTGGTGTTGTCTTCAGTCTAGGCTTCAATGCTCTTTAAAATATATGAAGAGCGGAAGTGAATGAATCATTCATTTTCTTAGTAGAGTTTCTTAAAGGCTTACTGCTTTTGATCGCTAAAAATGTTGTATCTAAAGAATAATTCATAATTTAATGATAATTTTGAAAACTGAGAATGTGCTCAAATCGACAATAAATATGAATTTTTGAAGTTCCTATTTTCATTTAATAAATAAACAAATTCTTTTCTGTAATAATTTATTTGATTGCATGTGACGACAAGTGGTTTATCATGTTTAGTTAATAATCTGAACAAATGAGTTTTATGCATATATCTTTTAGTCCTCTTTGGTAGTGTAAGATAAATACCATTGAATGATCCAACATGATATGATGAGTTCCAATATAAATATCTCTTTATTGCCCATACAGAGCTGTGAATGAAAAGTAAAAAGAGGTGTACTTTTTGTGTGTATAAAATAGCATTTATTAACAGAAATACTTTACTCCTTTAATATAGAAAAATGTCTGCAGCGTAAATGTATGAGACTTTGTTTTGGCTGCTTATATGCTGACAATACCACACTGTGCTTTGGATAGGGATCGGGTTTGTTGGTGGGTTGCTTTTGATTTTGCTTTTTTCGTGCCATTTTCATGCAGTCGCGGCTTTGCATGCCAGCAGCAATGTTATGCTTTGTTGTTGTTACAGTTGGTATTGCTGTTTTTGTTGTTGCCACTGCCTTGTTGCATTTTGTTGGCTATGCCAACACTGACTACCCTCAGGTCCCGGTCCCAGCCCCGACTGCGGCCCCTCTCTACGCAATCTTCTTCGTCCTTTGTGTGTATCGTGTAGTCGCTTTAATATTAAAAGCGTTTAAAATTTTGCACGTTTCGTCGCCATTGTTCATGTCTGGCCAGAGTCTTTTTCCCCACCTCCTAACGCCAACTCCCTTATGTTGTTGTTATTGGTGGTGGTGTTGTTGCTGCTACGCTATGCTACAGGGACCAACACACTAACAAGCTTTGTTATGTTTCGTTGCTGCCGTTGAGTTTGCTCAACGTTTTGCCTGCAGCTGCGGAAACGGAAGTGTTGCCGTTGCCATTGCCATTTTGCAGCCATAGATTTTCGGTGAGGAGCCGGCATTGGTTTTGGCATTTTAAGTTGCTGCTGCCACAGTTGCTGTTGCTGTTGTTGTTCTTGTTGCTGCTGCTGCTGTTGATAATATTCCTTTGGCTTTCCGCTTGTAAAACGCTACCGTGTTTTGCCGCTTGGCTTGCTTTCGGTTTTGTTCGAGTCTTTCTTTTTTTTACTACTGGTTTGTTGTTGTTGTATTTGGCATCACCAACTTCTGACAGGTGGTTTGTATTACGTGTTTTCTGTTTACCTTGTGTAATCATTTCATTTGTCAAAGTTGATTTGCTCGCAAACACGCCGACAACAGTCTGACAAGGAGATGACACGAGGCGCAGGAATGGACAAAGGCCGGAAAAGTAACAAAACTTTACGGCGCACAGAAAAGAAGAACTTTGCAAAGTAACTGTAGTTAACAAATAGTTTTATTAACTTACACAATGGGAATAAGTAACAACTACAATACTTTTTTGTAGAAAACTTACAGAGTTGTTTGAGAAATAAGTGCACATAACAGGAGATAACATTTTATTCCTTTTTATCAACTTTTCCAAGTTACAGATATTTTTAATTTTAATTGTTTATGATAGCTTTTGAAGCTATAGCTATTTCTAAATAACAGATTCTTTAGTTCTTCAGAAAAAAGTAAACAAACTATGGTACGAAATGCCGAACCCAAATGCATTTAGTAAAACGAATTTGTAAATTTTTACAAGTAGCTCGCATTACATTTAATTAATCTTAATATCTAAGCCATAGGCAGTAAGATTAAAAATATGGTTCTTATTAGCATCATTTATCTAAATTATACGAATATTGATATAGAGCGGAATCGATATTGCAATTACAATAAGAAGTGGAGTTGATCTACGTTTTCGCTATAAACTGAAAAAGTCTTGTGTATTTAAATATGTGCGACTGATTTTTAGAAAATGGTGATGGTGTACTTCAAAAAATATATTTAAATTGCTGGCATTATTTCAAATTTGATAAGCAGTAGGTTGCCTTAAAGTTCAAAGTAAATATAGAGCAAGTCTACATATTTTTGGGCGCCTGGAGTTATGCCACAAAATATTGCCTTTAACTTGTTATGGCCTGGCAATAAAATCAAATTACTGTCTAAACACTGTCTAAACATATTTCATTTAATTGTCTCGACTTAATCTCGACACAGCAACGAAGTCAAAGTCAAAACGCGTCAAATCAACGCCTACGAAATTAACTTGGCAACGCCAAACGAGGCAGAGACCCAAACGAAAACAACCGCCCATTCTGCGAACAAAACAGAAACAAAAACAAAAACAAACACGGTGCCGTTGCTAAAAGTCAAAAAGCTCTGGACGAACTACAAAAACGCGTGTAAACAACAACAGCAACAACAACAACAGCGATGGCACCATCAACAATAAAGGCAACAACATTTTGGCCGGATACGATGAAGCCGTAGCCGCCGCCGCCGACATCACATCCACCATTTCACTGTTAAGTGCTGGCAAAGCCGCACGTCATCATCGTCATCGTAATCTTCATCATCGTCATCAAAGGGAACGCTGTCGTCGTCGTCGTCGTCATCATCATGACGCTCAATTTCAATGCTGTCGGTGTTGATTGCAACGATGTTGTTGCTGCTGTTGTTGTCGCTGTTGTTGCTCTTGATTATGCGCCGTTTAAGTGATTAAAGGTGAAAACGTTGGCTGCCGTGCGCGTCTCTACACACCACACAGCTACGCCCCCACCTCTACCCCCCACACCGTGTGGGTGTGAGTGCGTGTTAGGAAAAGTGTGTTTTGCCCAAATGTTGTAGTGTAAAATTTTCCATTGCCTTGCAGAGATTTTAACTGTGCCCCGTGCCAGCGCCATCACCATCACCATCGACAACAACCACAACAACAACATCAAGAGAAATAACAATAACAGCCGGTCTAAAATGCGAATCTTCCCAGCCACCGCGCTCATTATTTTCGCCATGTTGCTAACAGCGGCGCCCACACTGGCCGAAATACCTTCAAAGGGTAAGTGTGTATGTATGTGTGTCACCAGATTGTGAATTCTTTGCGACCATAATTAGATGAGGCGCTCGTAATGAGCCTCTCAGTGATTGATTGATTGAGCGAATGCCGCGCCGGTTAGTTCTAATTCTGATTGAGCGGCGACATGCTTTCTGGCGTTTATTTTAATTGGAGTTGGAATAAGTTACAATAGCTCCTTTAAATCTTCAAATTCCATTCACCATTATTTCAAATAATCTTGAATTTTGTGTGTTATATCAAATTTTAATATCTTTTTTATAGCGAACTAAAATGAATTTTTTTATTGAATGTATCAATAAATTTTGTCACTTTCCTTTACTCAATGAGTTTACAAATAAGTTTTTATATGCTTTTTTAATTTTTATTACCATTTTTTATTTGTATCGTTCTGTTCTCCTTTGCAAATGAAATTGATACTGTTTTCAAAGCCTACTTCGAGTTGCTTTCAATTTATTTCCTAACTGGAAATGCATAAAAATAAAAGCGTCAATGCTTTTGAAATTGTTTTGAACGCTTACCGAAAAATAACTGCTTGATTAAGAGTATACAACCATATTTCTGCTGCACAAATCGTTCGAGCTAAGGGTGACATTTATTCAAATATTTGCAGCATTAAATTTAGAACATTTTCAATAACAAGTTAAAGAATAGTTGTTTTTAAGCAAACATGTAATGGAAATTCCAAAGGCTCCTGTAAATAAATCAAACAAGGCCAATGCAAAAGATACATTTTCAAAATTATTGCAACTACAGCAGAGTTTGTTATTTAAGCATTTGTTGTCAAAACAACAAATATTCGTTTATCAATAAATTCGAGATAAAATATATTTTCGATTTTGCAATACAGAGTAATATTTACTCAGCTTTCAAAGGCAATTACTTTGAAAATGTTTCTAAAGGTTACATACTTTGTGGCGTTTCTCAATTGTTTTTTAGCCACAAACTCATCAGGCATCGTTTGCACATCAAACAGAAAAACGAGAGAAAATTGCGCATATTAAAGAATTTATGAAAATAATTTGCAATTTGAACAACATGGGAAGGGTTGACGATTAAACGTAAATACCAAATAGGCGGAGGTCCCTGTCTTGCCTAAGTTTTAGAAAATATTTGCATATTTCTTAAATTTATCTTTGACAAACTCAAGGCGGCCCTCCTTGAGCATATTTTGCGACATAATCAAATATGCTTTAAGCCAAAAGCCAACGTAGCCAACCCTTTTGAAGTTTTTGAAGCACACAAACACAAAAAATAAAGAGAAAAGAAATCAACTGCAGATAGAACGAACGTCTACATCCTGTTCAGCTCTTTATTTATTTTCCAGAAAATTTGCCTTGCATACACCACTTTTCCACTTACTGGTTGAATTTGTTGTTGTTGCTGTCTTTATTATCTGTACTTTTGAGTGGAGTGAGGAAAATGCTTACAAGACGTTTAACATGTCACCTGCGGGCACAAATGCCAAGACTAAGTCGCTTACTCGCCACACTTATCTGACAGTTTTGCATCTGAGCAGCAGCCCAGTCGACAGCGAATCCAAGCAGTAGATGCCCTTCCCCCACTCCCAGCTCTCGAGCTTGTCATATGTATAAAATATACATTTGTTTGCCTTACACATTTGTCACTTATCGTTTGGTCCAATATTTTGCAGCTGAGTGCCAGCTTTGCCAGGCTCCCAACAACTTGGCTGCCTTACTTGACTTTCTGCCTTTTACTTCTTATTTCTGAGTGTGCCTGGGCATCTGATGTATTCTAGATATTGCAGGATATATTATGATTTTATGCATAGTTGTGTGCGAAAATATTGTTGCAATGGCAATGTGAAATGTAAGCACAAAATTGTGCGCGTGTCGGTAACTTGTTAGAGGTTTTCGCTTCATTTAAACACTTCTACACATATTTATGGTATTCGTTTGCTCCATAGATATTTTTGTACATATTAGTCATACTAAGCATGATACATACTAAGTAAGCCTATAGCTAAAATGAAGAATGGCAAACGTTTATAAAATGGGGATAAATAATTATGAATTTGCATAAAGTGATAGTTATAGTTAAGTTATGTTGTCGGATTAATTGTAATTGTTCAGCTCCTGAATTGCACAACACCAATACTCTTTCGTTATAACACATTTAATTCTATGCAGAAAAATCCCAAAATCCCATCCTTTCCCATCAATACCAATTAATCATATTACTACCTTCAAAATCAACACTTTACCGATTTCGTATAAACCAAATAAATAATAGCACCTATCATGTATTAATAGTTTTAAGGTACTCGTAAGAAGAGAACAATTAGCGGAACAAATTAGTTCAACGGTAATATGTGAAATAAGTATCTTTATTCTAAATGAATGGGTTGTTGTTGTTGCTCCGTTTGTTGGAAAGCTCTTTATTCTTCATAAAGCAATGCCATGTAAAGATTTCTGACACAAGTTTTATTATGGCCTGCACTTTACCATATTACATATATATAGCGGTCTTAAATCTAGCTTCCTGATATACATTAGTAATTATAAATAGTTATAATGAAAACTTACACAAGTACTATGGAAAGTATCTCGAACTACTATACAAATACAGAGTATAATGCATCGATGTACTCTGAATAACCTGCAATGCCCAGTTGCCCATCCGCCCCCCGATAAAACACGAGTTATGCATTTGCTGTGGGAGTTCTAGAGCAGCAGACAAGAGGAAAACATAACGCATATTACGTGGCAGTCGGTGCTACAGCGTGGAATGACAATGAAACCTCATCCTCTGCGACACAAAGAGCAATGAAAAGCATATTTTATTATACACTATTTTGCTGTCATTTCCGTTTGGCACTTATATCTTTTTCTATTTTACAGCGATACTTCCGTCTGAAATTTTTTGTGCTTCTCTTTTTTTTGCTGCCATCAATTTAAAGCATATTTTTTACAGCGCTCTTCGCCTAAATGTCCTTGACTGCATTATGAAAAGCAACGCACACACACACATGAGTGGGCATATGTATGTTCGATGTGGGATGGTGTGTGTTTGCTTGGCTGTTTGTATGCGTTGCCCTAATGGCTGCGGTTCGTTGGCGAAAATTCCTATTATTACGAGCTCGCGTGTACGCCATATGCATTTTTCCATATTACTTCCTAACAGCCTGCGGCGAAACTTATTAAAATTTTTCACTGCCGCCACTTGGCAACACTGGCGCGTGCCCGGTATTTCTGTTTTCGTACTACAGCGACCTATGTTTGAAGTTCTTGAAATAGTTTCGCGTGCTGCAAATTGTTAACCAAACTAATCAGCATAAAAATGCAAGCGAATTGTTGCCGCAACGCCTGGACGGACAACTGGGCAGTCTCAAAAACGAAAGTGTTTTGGCTGTTGGACTTCTTTAATAGGTTTATTTATGACGCTCTAGCTCTAAGTGCACTAACTAGAGCTTTGAGCTTCGCAAACGGCATGAAATGCTCCAGTTCGTGGTTGTAAATTGTGAAACTTTTAGTTCCATTAGTTAAGTAGAGCTCTTTGACATAATACCGTGAAAAGTTCCTCATATTTCTGAAAAGAGGAACAAAGGAACAAAGGAACATCAGATCATGTGAGGCTCGATTTTAAAACCTGTTAGATACATGCTTTAGTTATTGTCTCAAGTCTCGTCTGTAGAACTGATCGTTTGAATCGGTCAGCTTCGTCACCCAAAGAAGTCTATCAGACTACAAAAACCATTAAATCAGTGGTTACTAAGCTACTACTACTACTACCATCCCAGTAGCTATGCATCCTCATTCGATATTTTTTCATTAGCATCTCAAACATTTTACATTTTGAATGAACAACTTTTGGCTAAAGGGTATCTAAATTTTTGCACTTGAAGAAATAATGCGCCACACACCGGAATATGTTTGCCAAATTATATAGCAGCCTGATCAAAGCCAAGGCCCACGTAAAGAGAAAGGGTGCCTCTAAGGAGGCGCCCCCACCGTGGCGGCCAACTCGCCAGAAGCTGCTGCCACGCAGCGCCCAGCTCCAAGCGCTCTACGAGAATGTCTTCGACGTATTGATAATTGGCGGAGGCGCCACCGGCTGCGGTTGCGCCTTAGATGCAGCATCACGCGGACTCAAGACGGCGCTAGTAGAGGCGGATGATTTTGCCAGCGGCACCAGCTCCAAGTCCACCAAGCTCATCCATGGCGGCGTGCGTTACTTGCAGGCGGCAGTTACCCGATTGGACATCGAACAGCTGCGGATGGTGCGTGAGGCGCTGAGAGAGCGCGCCACTCTACTGAACATTGCACCACACTTGGCCAAGCCCTTGCCAATTCTATTGCCGATCTATACGTGGTGGCAGCTGCCCAAATATTGGGCCGGCCTGAAGCTCTACGATCTAGTGGCTGGGGGCGCCAATTTGAAGGGCTCGCACTTTCTCAGCAAAAAGCACACGTTGCGTGCCTTTCCGCTGTTGCGCAGGAAGGATCTGCTGGGCTCTGTAGTCTACTACGATGGCCAGCACGACGATGCACGCATGTGTGTATCCATCGCTCTGTCAGCGATGCATGCCGGAGCCTGTGTTTGCAATTATGTGCGAGTTCAGCAACTGATGGGACCGACGCGCGATGGCTTGCGAGGGGCACTGGTGCGGGATCGTCTGACGGGCCGCGTAATGGCTATACGTGCCCGTGCTGTGGTGAATGCCGCCGGGCCGTTTGTCGATAGTGTGCGCAGGCTGGAGGAGCCGCAAGCTGCGCCAATGACCAAAGCGGCCTCCGGCACGCATATTATGCTGCGTGGCTCGTATTGCGCCTCCGGCTGTGGAATCCTCGATCCGGAGACCAGTGACCAACGCGTGCTCTTCATGCTGCCCTGGAAGGGGTACACGCTGGTGGGCACCACCGATGCACAGGCAGACCTGACGGCCCACCCCCAGCCCAGCACTCATGATGTAGCCTATATAATGGAACAGATGGGTAAATTTGTGCGAGAGGAGGTGCGCCCAACGAAAGAGCAGGTGCTCAGCGCCTGGACAGGTCTGCGTCCGCTGGTGTCCAACCTCAAGCAGCCCAATTCACAGACAAAATCTTTGGTCCGCAGTCATCTGATTGTGGTAAGCGACAAGAATCTAATTACCGTAGCTGGAGGCAAATGGACTACTTACCGTGCCATGGCCAAGGAGACCATTGACAAGGCCATCAAGGTGGCAGCTTTGCAGCCCAGAGGCCCCTGCGTCACCGCACACCTGCTCATTGAAGGTGCTCAGCGTTGGCGCCCCCAACTTGCCTGGGATCTAAGACAAGCGTTTGATCTGCCCTTGGACATCGCATCTCATCTCGCAACTGCGTACGGCACCAATGCCTTCAAGTGCCTTTGCTGCTGCAATGGCATGAAGGATCGGCTCTCCTGTAGCTTACCCTACATCGAGGCCGAAGTCCACCATGCCGTGCTCAACGAGTACGCACTGACCGCTGTGGATGTGTTGGCAAGACGTCTGAGGATAGCTTTCCTCGATGTGGGCGCCACCCTCCAGATACTGCCACGCGTTGTCGAAATCATGGCCAGCCGGCTTCAATGGAGCAAGGAAATGCAGCTGATTGAGATGCAGCGCGTCTGCACGTTTCTAAGTCGCGAGATGGGCATGGGTTCGGTCACTTTCTTGAGACAAAATCACGACATGGTCCAGAGAAAGGCAGAGACGAAGAAGAAGAAAACATGTCAAACGGGGAAAATGAACTTGAATAGAAGCGGGCGCTAATGTATACGACAATTATTCTATTTTGGCAAGCTATTTGTTTTAAAAGTAAAACGATGTTGGTGTGTGTGTCGTTTTAATATAGAAATCACGTCCGACTTGCTCTGCCTATAAATTAACTAATTCATTATTCCACAAATAAGTCTTTGCACTTTTTTTTTCAGAAATTTTCGCAAAATATGGCTAACATCAGGTGTGGTTAACATTATCCACACCAAACAACAACAAACTCCAATTATCCGCGCTTATGACTTTCTTCACACGCGGAACACAAATTCCTTTTAATTAAAACGCACAAAATTTACGGCTATTGCCAACTAATTGTAAAATACTTTAGAATTGGCCGTAAAACGTACACTTAAGCAGCTAACGAGCTCCCATTATTCAAGATATTACACGCATTTGACATCCCCTCATCTCCTTCTACGATCCGATACGCGACATGTACGCACAAACAGGCTCCCAATAAATAGGGAAATCGATGAGCGATAAGCGTTTTCCAAGAACGACAATAATTCAAAATAAGAGCTCACATTCCCAAACCCCCCCTCTCTATCTCTCTCTCTTTCTCAGTCGCATGCAAATTTAGGTAATTTATTAAAAACAACAAGAGCGACGAAAATCGAAGCAGCAGCATAAAAAACACATCGATTCTCAACCAAAAAAAATCGACTTCCTTATGTTTCGAGTGCCAACAATTGTTAGGTATGTGAGTGTTGTTGTTACGCTTGTGGTTATTGCTGTTGTTGTGTTTCCCAAGGCAGAAAACTTCCAAAGTAATTGCCAGACGACGATGTCATAAACAACACTCAGAAGAGAGCAAGAAGAAACGGGGGGATAGGGAAGTGCAAATTATAAATGTACAATCAAACATCGCTATAGAAAACAGAGGAGGAATCGTTATAAACCTTTAAACATTCATAATACTATAAATGAGAAGATACCACGGCGATTGCGAAATGTACATGTCTGTTGAAAGAAACTATTTAATATTGTTTCCTAGTGTACCAGAATTTTCAAAAAAAAAAATCTATTAAAATGTTAGGAGTTAAAAAATATCTAATGGGTTCCCTATTGACTGATTTGGCACCTCTAATCTGTTTTGATTTTCAAATTCCTTATAAAGAAGTGTGACTGTACTTTCTGGTTTGTCGCCATAGCTTCGATTTAAGTTGAACATTTTAACGATTTATTTTGCGCGCATTTCAAATACATTCTCTCCTCTCCTTACTCATATATATTTATATGTATAAGTAATGTTTCGATAGCGCAGACACAGGCACGCACAACAAAAAAACAGCAATAATATGTGTATAATATATATTCCGATTGTAGCTGTGCGTGCGTGTGCTTGTTCATTATCTGCATCCTCTTTAGCTTCTTAGGTTCTTAGCATATCAAAAGATTGCGCCATTGGCTCCTCAAAGTCGTATTATTCCTGCAGGTTGGCTTTATTCCTACTGAGTCTGCTTTGGGTGATGGCGTCAATGGAGGCAAAAGCGTGGGTAGAGGCGTCGGCAAGGGTGTGGGTGAAGCATTAGGTGAGGGTAAGGATGGGGGCGTCGGCGTTGCTTTTATCTTTGCCGTCATACACACCTTATGTCTAATAATCGCCTGCTGGACTGGCTTTTTAGGTAACAACACAACTTCATTGCTTGCACACATATGTTGTTGTTTTTGTTGTTGGATACGTTTGCGTTTCAGTTGCTGCTTTCTTTGTCTATAGGAGAGCTGTTGGCTAGGGGATGTGGATTTGGAAAGGACCGATTTCTTGGGCAGCTCAATGGGTGGCTCTTCCACATAGGCTGGCTGTGCCATTAGGCCAGAGTATTGTCTGGTCTTGAGTTGGCGCGGAGCCTTGGGTGTCCTGAGGGGCCCGTCCACCTCGCTCGATGAAACACTTTGCTTGCGTTTGACATTGCTGCGGGGTTGCACCAACGAACCCAGACCCATCTCGCGACAAAGAAATTTCTGGATCAGCAGCAGCTGCAGTTTCTGATCATGCTCGCTCCAATCCTTCATCCTGCTCATGATGTGCAGCACTCGAGGAAGCATGTGGAGAGTGGCCACGGCGTCCACAAAGGCCACCCTCAAACGTCTGGCCAGCACATCCACCACAGTGCAGGCATACTCATGTCTGACTGCATACTGCACTTCGGCCTCTATGTAGGGGAAATTGCAGTGCAGTCGTCTTCGCGAGCCCGGAGTGCTTTCGGCCAGCAAATGGTGCGCATTACTGCCATAAGCATCGGCCAAATGTTGAGCCACATCCGACTGTATATCGTAACACTGCATCAACTCCACTGGCAACAAACCATGCCAGCCATGGGCGCCGTCGAGCAGAAGATTTGAGGTGTTACTCTCTGGTTTCTCCGGCTCCAGTGGACAACACTCCATGGCCACATCAACTGCCTTGGCTGCCATCAGCCGATACGTGCTCCAACGACCCCCGGCCATGGTAATCATATTGTTGTCGCTCACCTCCACCAAATAGTCTTGGAGCGGGCGAGTGGGTTTCTGATACTTATGCTCATAGGGCCAATGGACGTCGGGCCTAATGCCCATCCAGGCGCTGCGCATATGATGATTCCCCAACTCTACATTCTCCTCCAGGTATTTTCGAGCCTGCGAGAGCAAGCAATCTACCTGGGCCTGAGTAGGCGCTGGCTCCTTGGTCAGCTCCTCGCAATCGCTATTCAGAATTCCGAGCAGCGTGTGATTCTCCCATGGTAGCATCACCAGCGAAGGGTTGTAAGAGCCATTACCACTGACCAAACCATAGCGTGGCGAGCCAAAGTAGCTGGGCAACGAGACCATCGTAGTACAGCTGGGCGCGGCGATGGGCTGAACCTTGCAATCGTCCATTTGGCGCACCAGATCGGTTAAAGCTCCCGTTGCATTTATTACCATCCTGGAGTTGACATAGAACTCCTTACCAGTCAGGACATCACGCATGCCCGCAGATCGACAACAACCATCCTGCTTGATTAGCTCAATGACCTCCACATGGTTGACCACAGTGGCGCCCTGCTGCGCTGCTGTGATGGCCAGCGCCAAGCACATGCGTGCATCATCATGCTGGCCATCATAGTAGACAACAGAGCCGCGCAGGCCTTTGGAGCGGAGCAACGGGAACTCATCGAGTGTTGCCTCCTTGCTGAGGAAGTGCGAGCCCTTTATATTTGCACTTCCCGCGAACATATCGTACAGTTTGCATCCCAGCCAGCAAATGGGCATATTCAGTCCGCTATAGATGGGCATTAGCATGGGCATTGGTCGATTCAAATGAGGCGCAATTTTCAACATAACTGCACGCTCCTTCATTGCCTGTCTTAGAAGATTTAATTGCGCCACATCCAGACTTTGAATGGAATTCTGCAATGCCGTCGGCCCCCCGTCGATTACCTTGCTGCTCTTCGAGGTATAGCCGCTGGCGAAATCCGCAGCCTCGACCAGAGCCGTTTTGAGACCTCGGGCGGCGGCATCCAAAGCGCAACCACAGCCAGCAGCACCACCGCCTATGATCAGCACGTCGAATTCCGTTCTGGTGAGCGCATGTAGATGCTCCTGGCGCGATGGCAATTGTTTCTGGCAGCTCAAGGGACGCACACCTGAGTGCAGGGCATTGCGCCAAAAACTGTCAGTACTCGATCTTCGGATGCTGCTACGAATTATGCTGGTGCGGGCTATGCTGGTGCGGGCTATGCTGGTGTAGACTTTCATAAACATTGCATAGGGTGGTCCTTAAAATGTGATGTGGGTGGCGGCTACTACCAACCAAAGAAAATCTAATCAATGTAGCCGAAATTGCTTAACTTTGAATTTTGAATCGGGCCGCATTCTAAAGTCGCACCTTTCTATACTCCGCACTTGATCAAAAATGGTATGTAATTTTTCAAAATTCTAGAAAATTTTGATAAATATTCCAAATATATTTGGGGCAAGAGACCCAGATTATTCATTATTGTATGCAGTATAGTCGATGGCTATGGTATGCAAGATGTTGCTTTGCCAGGATAAATAACATAATAATATAGAATAATGTTAATGAAGATATCGGATATCTTCCCGGAACAGCTATGCTTAAAGTTCCCTATTAACTTTTTGCCATAATTTCGAATTAAATGATTAGTTCGGTAACATTCATAGAGAATATCGGTCATTTGGTTATAATGAATAATTATCCACACTAGCTTCAGAAGGTAACTGTTCATTTTATTTGAAAACAATTGTTCATCAATTTAAAAAAATGCAGTAAACCATAATTAAATATTAACAACAATCAAATATTGGGGAGGGAGGTTAACAAAGCCATTGTCTCCGCAAAGAATTGCTTAGAATACTAAGAACAACTAACTATTCAATGCGAATTACATAAACTATGTTAGTAATTGCATTTGCCTTACTCTAACCACAGATTCAGACTAGCAAAGTGTCCACTTCTACATTGCTGGAATATTAAATGCTATTAGAAATTCTTCTATACAAGAACTCACATTACTATGCAATTAAATTCCTTTTTGTGGGCGGTAAACTTATCGCACAAAAACCGATTTTAAAATTCAATAAATGCTTAAATAATTAATGAACAAAGTCCACAGCAAAGTACACAAACGCTGGCAGGACCTGTCCTCTCTTCCACCTTTCAGCCATGCAGCAACATCAATTTAAATTAATGAAAATTATAGATATGCGCGCTGTCAGCCAAATGAACAAGCCATCCCCTTCCGCGCATAGTTCAAGGTGTCAAGCTGCCAAGGACGTTGGGGCGGGCGCTACAGACGCGACAGACGCCCACAACGATGACACATTTATGACAATTTAAACCCGTGTCTGGACTGCTTGACCCACCAACTAAATTACTATGCTTAACACATTAAGGTTGGAAAATTTAATTACAAACAATAGCAATAGATGTGGTTATTGTTGTTGCCGCTGTTGATGTAGTGGGCGTGGCCAGAGGGGCGTATTGCTAGCCATGGCCCGACAAAACAATGAGTTGCAAATGGCTCAGGCGTTGCCATCGTTGCTCGAATCCCAATAGCTATTTACGTCGCAGTAATAATTTTGGAGCAAAAACTGGCGTGTCACACTCTCTGGGGAGAAATCGACGAGTTCCCTCGCCCCTAACTTGCTGGTATATTAATGCTAATGTCCAAATGGTGGACCTACAAGGCAAACAATTGGTGTCAACAATGCGCGGCCAGAGTGATGAACGGCCGCCCTGACTTTCACACGCTAATGAGTTTGTTTAAGTAATTTCAATTCATTTGTTCACTTTCAACTATTGTCTCGCTTTTTATTGACTTTATTAATGTGCCAGTGGTCCTGCTTGTCAGTTGGTTTATTTGTTGGTTGCCCCTCCTTGTCCCTTCCCGTCCCGTCCTTGTGGACGAACCTTGGCCGTTTGGCTTCTGCGTGCTCACAAATGGCATGGCAAGTTGTCAACATTGTCCTTTTGTCATTGCCGCACGCGCATACCGAATTGTTTCATTAATATTATGTAATTGTAACAATCGTAATGGTGCACAAGTTTTCCGATTCGTAAATAGGTTGGAGACTTCAAGTCATTTTAAGCACTGGGGCTTACTATTTAATGTTGCAATGAGTATTACGTATGTATTTATTTTCGATGTTGTAAAACACTGAAATGTTAACAGAATTTTCAATATAATAAGCACCAGGCTAGTTATTAGTTCTTTTAGTTTCAATTAACATTGTTCTAAATAATTGTTAAATTGGCGAGGAATCGATTTTAAATGTAGTTATGTCTTTCTTTTTTATATATTTGTTTGTTTGTATAATCACCTTTGTATAAGGGAATAGTCAATAATCGAATAATCTTGTACTTAATTCATCTTAAGTTTGCTTAAAAATTAGTGGGAAGCTTAGCTTTAGCTTTAGAGATATTTGCAAATAATGAATTGCAAAATTAGAATAGATTTATAAACTTTATTGCAGATTAAAGTGATGGTGTGTGTACAAAATTTAAGATACACGTATGTGTATTTTATGGCTTATGTAATAATTGCAATTCTATTAATTGAACAAAAAGTGGGTATTTTATTTCATGAAATCATTTGTAAATTGATATTAAAACGGCCTTTAATTGAACACATGGGTGTTTTCCATAAAAATTATAGTTGAACAGGAAGTGAGTTGACGTTTGAGGGGAAAGGTTCAGGCCAAAGTTGGCAAGAGTTGAGAGTGTTACGGATCAAATAGTGCTGGTGTGTTTGTTTTGACCTTGTTAAGTCAGATTATTTTTATTTTTTTATAGTCGCGATAGCTTACAGTTTTTGTGTAATGTTAATGAAAGAGAAGTTTTTAAATTGTGTGAATGCGGTACAAGTTTGTGGTTCATTTCCATAAAATTTATTTTTCTCCTATGGATTCATTTGTCATTCAGGAAAGATTTATGTCAACTTTATGACAGTTTTTTGAGTACACTAATTTAAGTAAGATTGGCATGTCTCGGTAGCCAAAGAAGAATATTTTATTCTGGTGGCTTTCTAAATACTCCATTCATATCATTCTTATAATATAATTCAACAAATTTATCAGTTCAATATGGAGAGTTGACAATTAATTTGGGTATTATTTGCATTATTCCCATTTTCTATTTTCTTTTGGGAATGCATTATTTAGCTATTTATCGCGCAGTCTGGCTGCATAGTTTTTACAAAAAATGTATCATGGACCATTTAATAAATCCTAGGTCAACAAAAGATAGTCAACCATATTTTACCTTCTTTAGCAGGCCAAAAATAAAATAGTCACCACATTCTGACCAATGGGAACCCCTCGGGTGCAAACTGTCGACATTAATCGCGCCAACGGCGGCAACAACAATAACAACAAAAGAAAGAGGGCGCCTAAATACAAATTTCCGGCATAAGCCACATAACAAACCAGCCTGTTAGCGATCCCCGACAGACCACCCACGTGCCCGTTCGCCCGCCTTCCCTGTCCTCTCCTGCTCTGCCCTGCACTTTGTTACATTTCGTTACCTCACCAAAGTGCCTCAACACATTGGAGACCCGCCCGCGCCCTGCCCATGCCGTCGCCAACAGCTAGCCCCTTTCCTGCAGCTGCCCAACCAAGCGAGGATATCACGCTGCAACGCGACGTTGGCGGCGATTTTGCTTTGTTATTCTTGCTGTTGCTGTTGTTGTTGTTGTTGTTCGCCATGTGGCTCACCTTTTTTCAACCGAGGCCGCCCACTACCCCGCTGGTCGCTTCTTGTTTTTGGTGTATTATTGCAGCTATAAAGTCAGTGCCTTGAACTTTTTGTTAGCCTTGTTCTTTTTGTTCTTGTTTTTGTTTTTGCTTTTATTCCTGCTTTGTCCAGCTTTTGTTTTTTGCGCCTTATTGCTATTGAAGTTTGTTTTTTATGGCCCCAACTACGCTTGACAATAAGCGAAAACTTTTCCACTTCTCATTTATTATTACGCGTTGACTTTCTTTTTTGTTTTGTGTTTTTTTTTTCGCTGTCGCTCCGGTGTCCTGACAACCGCGCGACATGAATTGTCGTCATTGTCCTCCTCCCCTGCGATCTGCGCTGTCCGGCAGGGGCCACCAGTGTTAAAAATAAAATAAAAACAAAACACTCTGCAAATGCAAACATGCGCATGAAATTTGTCTAATAATTTTCAACGTCTGCCGACCAGGGTGGAGTAAAAAATGAAATTAAAATAAATAAACGATTTGTTGCGCTTCGACAGGCAATGAACAAACGAGGTGTTAAAAGGCACAAATTGTTGTCGCCTGTCCTGGCAACGGCCGCGTACAACCAAAATTTATTCAAACTTTTTGTTTATTACTAAAATATGTGATTTATGTGAAAATGTCAAGCAAAAATGTGTTGCTGTGGGCAACATCAGTTCTATGTACTTATTAACGGACCCAGGATCTCCAACTTAATTTAAATCTCCCGAAAGCAACTGTAATTAAATTAATAGGCTGCATAAATTGGGCTTCAATATTTAAAAGTTTATCAAACTTGTTGCAATTAGAATAAATAAATACAGAAATACATACATTTGAAATATATTCTAAAAATTTACTAGAAGGGAAACAACAGCAGATCCTGTTCAACACTTTAGCAACGAAACTTTGTCGAAATTCTAGGGCTAGTCTGTAATTAAGTTCTGCAACTATATTTAATAATAAAACCCAGTTTAATATAGAACTGAAACTAAACGAAGTATTGCTGTCTGGGCTGTTTCGCAAATATCAACAGTTAGTCACATTAATCTCTACCTTTGTAATGCCTTGTCCTTGTCTCGGATGGCATAATGCCGCATGTCTCAGAAGTCCTTGACGCAATGGACATGCGACTGCACAATAGAAATGAAAGCAAACAGAGCTATATTGTGTAGCCACCCACCCAACATTTCCATCTGCTGACTCTCATCATGGAGCTCACTGCTCACGCACAGGACGAGTCAATGGCCATCGGGCATTGGACATTGGTCAGGTGCTTGGACATAAAGGCGCTAATTTGTAGCAATTAGTTTAGCAGGGGACGTTGGTCAGACGACAAACGACGTGCCACAACCCAGAACCAGAGGCAGCGCGTCCGCAACATGTACGCGAGCAGCAATAATAGCTGCAACAACAACGCCAGCAGCAATAACAACAATACGGAAGCACATTTGATAACAATTAAATAAACGTAGGCGACATTTAAAGCGAAGTGAGCGGCGATTGCAAATGATGCAGGAGAAGGACGAAGGTAGGGGCTGCCTGCGACACTGTCGCTTCGAACTGACCACAGGCCAGACGCGACCACGACTACGACCACGACCACGCAACATCGTTGGCGCAATTTTTTACGATATAACATCAATTAAATTTTTACCTTTCCATTGTCCCCCACAAATAA